TGATTAGCTGAATTATATACTTTTTTGACGAATGATTGATGAGTGGCATAATGCCGAATAAATCCATTTCGACTAGTAATCAGTTTACAAAAAATTAAAACTGATCAGTTTTTGGATTGAATTGATTTAAAAAAAATAAATCAGATCAGTTTCAGTTTTGGTTAAAACTGATTCAAACTGAACTGTTGTGATCCTTATTGTTATATTACTATAAAGATTATTGTTCTATTTAACAATTATTAAGTAATTTATTTCAAGTATATAATATTTCTTTAAATATTTTTTTAAAACTATATAGTTTTACAAATTTTTTGGAAAATTTTCAAACATAATTATTTTGTAATTGCTTTTAGCAATAATTTTTTTTTAATGTTATATAGATCTCAAAAAAATTAATAGAGATAATAAACTTTTAATCAATATATAAAAGAAATATTATTATAGTTACCAAATATAAAATCAATAACTGATATTAATAAAATGACATTTTGCAAATTTATTTCATTAATCTTGCATATATCACTTGCAATTATAAGAAAGATAACTAGTAAAGAAGTCAATATAGAGTTAAAAAAAGATATTTTAAATAAAAAAATATTTAGTAAGACTATTATAAGATTCTTAACAATACTATTTTGGTATTAAATCAGTATTAAATTTACTATAAGTTTAATATAATAGGTCACAACCTATATATGAAATTTATTTTAGGTCAGTACTATTTCAGTATCAATTCAGAATCCTAGTTGATTACACTATAACAGGGGTGAAGAATCTTTTGTAAATTACAAGGAAGAATCATGAAATGTTAAGATTAATTATTTTAAAAATATGAAATAACTTGAGAGTTCCTTTCGTATGAACAAGAGGAAGTGGAACATTTAAGGCTGAGAATTATAACTATCCATATCTATATGGAATTATATAATGGATATGTAAAAAATTTCCTATACTTGCTAAGGTAATATAACTATGCCAATTATTGGATTTCTTTTTAGATGTGGATTGGCATTTTATCATGTTCACTTCCAAAGGAATTTTTTGTATCAGTAATAGTGAATACGAAAAAAATCTTACGAAAAAAACACTTGAGGAAAACCAAAAAACAAATGATCAGTATAACTGTAGGGTTGTTGAAAGATAGAGTTTCTTCATGCAATTAATCTGAAAGCAAGAAGCGATGTGTACAAAAAAAATTACCAAAAAATGGCTACTGTGTAGTTGATTTTAGTAATTGGCTCATAGTTTTCCGCTTCACATGTATTTTTATTGTATTAATAAAGCAATCAGGACTAAATAGTTGTTCCTTTTACCTTTATTAAAGATAGTAAGGGATTTTTTTTGACCTGCTTATACAAGATGTTGTTTGGGATCATCACTCTGAGATATGCAATTCCATTTCGGATATACGCTAATTTTATCTTATTTCTACCTGATTATATCTGCTATCATCAATATGTATCTTTCTAGCCTCAAAGCCCTTTTGTATAATATCCTAAAAGAAACGAAAGAATTCATTCAAGAAGAGGGTGAATCCCAATGTTTCGTAACAGAAATTCCAAAATCGCTTCGATGCTCAGAATGTAATAAAAATTTTTATTTATTACGAATTATTTACCACGTTTAGCTGTGGACATATCTTCTATAGACTCTGTATCGAAAAAAAATTCTGCTTACCGTGTCAAATACATGTCCTTTTCCTAAGTCTGAAAAAAATATTGAGCTTATATCAATAAGCTTGGGGCAGTTGTCTTAATAAGTGGGATCTGCTCTAATTGATAGTATGGATAGTGATCTTGGAATAAACAGTCCAATGATTTTACATATTATCAAATGGGGTTACCATTATTGACTGGAGATAATCGTGACATTGATCCAAAATTATTCAGTGAGAAAATACAAAGTCTGCCAAAGAACCACCTAATAAAAAGAAGAAATTGCAAATAGAGATTATTCTCCTGTATTGAAAAGCCTTATTCGGAAGCTTTTAACTGATGATTCCGGAAATAAAAAAACTTCACAATCTGAATTCACTTCCGAGTCCTCTACAGTATTATATAACTTTCTAAATCTATATCAAAAAATCATAAATACTGAAAGCATTGATAAAAAAACAACTCAAATCTTATACATAGCTATTTTCATTTTGGAAAAGCAATCAAGGAACTGTATTACTACTACAGAAAAGATTACCCGAAGCGTACATCCAAAGGAAAGGTTTCTGATAAGATTAGAAAACAAAAGAAAGGGCCCTGAAGATTTATGATTAGTTCAATGAATTAGGGGAGAATAAGGTTAAACAAATTAAGACTTTCACGGACAACATTACAAATACTGTATTGTATATCTCAGGACGATATACTGTATTAGCTAGGATTTCAGATAATCAATGGTCACATGACATTGAGATTGCTTGTCACAATCTGTGATAAATCCGTGGTTTTTATTTCTTAACTATGCCTTGATATCATATATTTCATTTAAATTTTTATTGCACATGGAAAATTACATTCAATAATGTAATAAATTTCGTTTCTCGCCTGTTTTATGATTTGGAGGTTGATGCGTAATTAGAACTGAGGCTAACTAGATCAGCAAATCCATCATAGTTTTTCCGAATGTAATATTCTATTGATTGCGATTGGAAACCCACGGTATTTATTGAAGGATGAAATGCAAACATGTTAGCTTCTAAGGTTTCACCGTATTCCTCTTCATTCGCAAATAATTTTCTAAATTCATCAATATTAATCTCTTTGGATCTCAGCAAAGCGTCAATTACACGTTTTCCTGCTTCATGATGTTTTTGACCTTCAAGTATTTTTGCTGAATTAAGTTTGTTATGGGGTTCAAGTAATATTTTCTCCCTGATATCTATAGAAAAAGAGATAGGCAGCTAATCTAAAGCAGAATCATGCAAATTATGAAACCTATTCATACCTTCAATGGATTGTCCGGACAAAAAATCAGTTGCAACATCTTTCAACTCTAAAATGCGACCACCGACCAATTGATATAATTCTTCCGCTTTTTCGGTGATTTTATGTATCTCAGTCAAATATTTTATTGATTCTTCCTCGTTAAGGTCACCAATTTCTATTGGTGGGTTTTTTGCTCGTGACCAGGAACTACGAGCTAGATGAGAATTGCATCATAAGTGATGTTTCCTTCAAGAGTAAAGAATAATGTCTATCCTTACATTCCACTCTTCTTGGAACCACGCCTTCACTACTGACAAACACCGCGATGTATAAATGGTCATCAGAACTTTTTTTTGCATCATCTTGGAGGGTATCAAGGATACCTGGATGTTTTGGAATCAACTGGCTAACGTTATCATAAACAATAACCGCAGGTCTGCCATGTTTTGCTTTATACACTTTAGCACCACGCTTAAAAGCTTTCAAAGCCCTATACCACATCCGTCCATCAGAATAGTCTATCAAAAAAGAAAAAAGGATCAACAATGCTTGCTGTTATAAAAATGATATAAAACTCACTACTAGTATTGCCCAATTTTCGTATCAATTGATTTGTAAAAGAGATTCGCTCTTCAAATGCAAAGTTAAGAGTTTACCCAAATGCTACGCCAAATTCTTCATCCAAATTATCATTGCAAGCAGGAACATCAACATATACGACGCCACGACCAACTTTACTTGATGCAGTTTTGACCATTGTAGTTTTCCCGGTTCCATGTTCACCGCAGATCAAGTAATAACGTGATTGATATTTATCAGGTTGAAAAATTCTTTTAAGATGTTCTATAATTTCAGTTCGCGGAAAAAATATAACACTTGGAACTCCAGTTCCAGGTTGATTGCCTTTGTCTATGATCTTAATAAGAAGTTTACTATTATATTTGCTTCGGCAACAAGCGTAAAAAAGATACTCAGTGCAAAAGAAACCAAGCAGAGCCAAACAAATGCCAATAATTCCCAACCCTATGGCACCCTACAAATAGTGAGAATGTGATTAGAAATTCCACTAAGCAATGATCGAAAACAACAAATACGCTCGTACAAGATAGTAGAAAGGGTTATCGAAGTTTTCGAAAGTGTGGGAGAATAAAAAACTGTAATTGGTTCCGAAAAAAAATAATGATAAAATGGAAAGTGCAACATAAAAAATATGAATATTAATATATTTTTTTTGCGGTCAATGAAGACCCGAGTAATTTTTGGGAAAGACATTGGCGATTTCCAAAATTTATTCCCTATTTATCTATTGCACAATTACATCATTAATCAAAACTATGACGTAATTTTTATATAAAAAACTTTGCCGCAAAAAAAAAAAACCAATTTCGCGCTTTCAAGAGAATAAAAACAATAAAAAGACAAAATGTTAGTTGAAAGAAGACTTAGGTACATTACCGCCAGCATTCTGGGAATTCCATTGATCATCTTGACATTTCTTTGTCCTATTATAGGTGCGTGATAAATGTTATTTATCAATGCAGTGAACAACTGATCATGCATAAATCTTATTCTTTGTAATAGAACTTTTGAAATTTCGATACTTTAATCAAATCCCTGGGGAGCTGTCCCTTTCAAATGTTATTATCGAGTATTGGTAGGCCGCAACACTTTTTTTCTTGCGAAAATACTCGTGACAACAAACTAACACCTTTCGATTTTTGAACCAAATCTTTAGTTATTTAGTGGTCTCGTTCTCAATACCATGTGAGTGAATTGCTCTTTTAAGATAGGAATCGCGCAAAGATGGATCGAATTCCTTTTAATCTACTTATATAGGCAGTTTATTATTATCGGCCATATCCAATTATTGTCGACCTAAAGCCCTAGCGGAAACCATGAAGGAAGAATTATTGTAATTAATATTGCCTTTTTGATCGAAATTCTAGTCAACCCCATTATAACACTAATTTTTACGTTTTCGTTTTGGACTTGTAAAATGTAGCCCCGTGCTTTTCATTTGGGTAATTGTCGCCGGTAAATTTTACAATGTTCATCCAAAAATTGTTGATCGTTCTTCCTTTTCATCATTATTATCATCATTTTCTCCTTGGTATTCCTAGCGGTCTACACAATTATAACTGCAAATGAAATGCACGAGATCCCCGCAAACTGTCCATCACCAGAAACTTATTTCTATGAGAAGCCCTATTATTATACAGCGTGTAGGGTTCGCCTAACAAATCTAATTTCCATGTGGTTGTTTGTGTTGTTTGGAGGATTATGGGTGATAGGTGCGTGCTTGGGGATTTTGCCGAAAGATAATGATCTAAAACGATTGACCGGACAATATGAAGAGGATGGTCAGAGTCTTCTGTGGTGATTTTAACAGTAGATACATTACATAATGGTTTTCATAGGATGATCATGGAGTATGGGAAGCTGGGTGTGCGGTGACAAATATTAATTTTATAGTACTTAACGACATGGAATAATATTTTAACTTGAAGTTTAATAATTGCATCGCAGTTTTAGCATGATTTATTTATTTAAGATAATTTTATCTTAGATTTTATCATTCTAACCTATGATCAAGCATATGTACGTATTTGACATTACCTTTGAAAGAAACTAGAAGCTCGTAAGTCATGAAAAAGAAAAAAGCATTAAGATACAGTAGCTTTGTGAAACAAGTGCAACTAAACATTGAAGTAGCCTTTTGATTTCACACAGCTGTAAGTAATTTTGCTAGTTCTACCACACAACGCGAAATATGACATCCATATTTTAGACTGTACGAATAATGAATTCAGCATTCAACCATAAAGCTCCAAGTATCATCCTGTCATCAGTTTTTCATCTTTCATCAAAGTGAAGTTGTTCAAACAGAATTCAAATAATGAATGGTATAAATCTCTTCCTCGCTTTTGAATATTCATCCCACTCTTTTCTAAAATGATTCCTCAATAATGCCTCTTCTTTATATACCCTGTTCATAAGCGAAACCATTCCGATCACAAATGCGACATAGAAACACACATTACTGCATAAAAAGTACGAGACAAACGGTGGGGCGTGCAAAGAAACAAATGGCCTGAGTTGATGAAGGATGTAAGCCTCGTATGGGACCCACAGAAGCAAACCTGTGTACTGTGTAGAAAATTAAGAAAATATTATGAAAAGTCCATATGACCATTAAAAATAGCAGATGTTTGCCTACCGAAGGATGAATCAAATATTTATAAGGACCATTTGTGATCAGTTTGTGATTCTTCTTGATGGTAATGTCAAACGTAAAGAATTCGTCGAGAACTGCAAAACACCACAATCTCAAGATAGTTCCAAGAATCGATACAAATGTGACCAAAGAATATCCGACGGTCCATTCTGATAGCCTGTTCATGTTTTCGTTATTTAGGTAAGTTGTATTCCCGTTATCTTGCTGGTACATAACGAAAGCATAAAACCCGGATAGACATATTGCCACGCAAATACTAAGATGTCTAAACCAATGGATCAAAAATATTCCATTTATGCCCTCAGATTTGTAAATCTGAGATGAAGTGGATTCTATAGTATTGGGGGGAAATGTGACTTTCAGGAAACAATATAGTTGAAATACGATTGAAAATAGCTTTGTAAACATTGTTTTCAAGAAATCAATTTTTTTGTTTTATCGGTCGGCAAGCTTAAATAGCTTAAATACCCACATAACAATACAGCGATGACAAGTAAATTGATCACCGGTTTAAGGCTAAACCTTCACCCGAGTTAAGGTCGTGACCTATGCATGGGAAAACTTTCAATTCAACGTTTCGATCCTTCCCTCATCAAAATTTGAAATTCCGTATGATTATTGAGGATTATTGAAATAAGTATTTATAAAGTTTCGGATCTGGATTTTATATTGGATGACTCACAATCAATCGCTACGTGCATACGTGTATACTTGATGGATTAAAATAAGAGTTTTAGTGCGTACACACATGCTTTCTTATCACTCCGATCATAAGATAATATACGGTATAAAAAAAAAATCTTTTTAATATGTCTTTAAGGACCTTAAACAGATATAATAAATTTGAAATCACGGTAAATAAAATATAAAATGTGTACGTACTAAATAAGTTTCTCAGTATGTGACACAAAAAACGAGAAAAATTTTGCATAGGATAATAAATTATATACATTGTTATAGAGAAAATTGATGTAACATAAGAAATGGTATAAGAGTTGATTATATAACATGCAATTTGTATTTTCTATATCTTTTATGTCTTTTGTAATTAAGATTTTTAATATCTTTTGATTTCTTTTTTATTTTCAAGAATATAACTAAATAATATATTTAATTTTATGTTGTTAATTGTTCATTCTGTATTATTTATTTATCAAACTTATAAAATCTATTATACTTCAATCGTAATACAATTTGCAAATTGTTTTTATTGATAATATATAAAATAATTATCAGTATAATTCGAAATGATTTTTATTAAGGTGGCTATCATCTATAAACTATACAAATCCGAAATTTCAGATGTAGATCACCATGTGATTTTTATAATAAATCACATGACTATATATTTTTAACTATATATATACATGCGTCAACTTATTCTGCTCATTACTCCCACAACTCAACAAAGACAATCTTAAAATCCTTTATGGTGAGAAGATCACTGGTTATGCATTCCTCAAATTGACCAAGAACAAGATAGGTTGAAGAGAGGACCTGCAATGACTCTTTGTGAAGTTCACTAAATAAATCAAAAAGAAAATTAAAAGCATTTTCATTATATCACAGTTTAGAAAAGTATTATTAAAATATAGTCCTGATAGTGATGATATTGAATTAATTCTGCTATTCACCTTTTCAACCTACGAGATTCAAGATAATAATAAGCATTTTAATGGTTTATTTCCTTTCGTTTTTTTAACTTCTTTGTATAAATAGCAAAAAAATAAAATAAATAATGATTATCATCTAAATTTCATATAAAAATACTGATCTTTAGTTCGAAATTTGATTTATATATATACAGTATATATTATATAAGAATTTATTGAATTTTAAATCTTAATAATTTAAAATTTTACATAATATTTTATAAAAATATTCAGTTTGTTTTAATTTATCAGTTTATCAGTTTAAATTTATAATAAGTTTATTTGTTCTTAACTTATAAAGTTTAAAAATTAATTAATTTTTGTGTGGTTTATTAATGATAGCCACTATAGTAAATTTTTTTTTCTTTAAATGCTTACTAATAAATAAATAAAAAAATTATTATATTTTATTATATTTATAAAATATCGATATACATTTTATTACAAAAATTTTTAAATTAATAATTTTTAACATAATATAACAAATAATTATTGGATTTATACAAAATTTTAAATAAATATTTATTTTTTATAATCTAATAATAAAATTATTCAAATTTCAATAATATTTAATTGATTATTTTATTATAAAACATGAATTTACAAAAAAAACAAAAAATAAAATAAAATAACTTTAATAAAATTTTTATATAATTAATTATATGTTAAATATTAAAAATAAAAAAAAATTACTAAAACTTTTTTTTATATACATTTTTCTTAAAAACATTGCTTTATAATAATTTTTTTAAAAATTAAAAAAAAAAACCTATTCACTTTTCAATATTTACAAGTTCTTTACATCTTTTTAATCTTTATTACAAAAGCCTCAAAAAATCCAACAAAAATATATTGATATATTAAGATAAAACCTTTAATTAAAAAAAAGTAAATTTAAGAATTTTGTTTTTTTTTAAAATTACATAAGAAATAACTCATAACAATTGTTTCTTTATAAACTTTTTTTAAGACTTTTTATATTTTCAATTCTTATTAAAACACTTTTTATTATTATATAAACTTTTAAATATTCTTGTTCTTTTGCTAAAAACCCTTCTTTTAATACAAAATATAAACCTTTATATCAAAATTGTTTATATTGTTAACTTGAAAAATTAGTAATATATATAAGATACAATTTTTAATATTATTCAATATACTTTACTGCATTACAAAAAAATTTATATTAAAAAACTATAATCAATTTAATTTTGATAATTGATCAATATTTTATTTTTAATTAATTATATCTTATAAAATATTAAAACATATCTATTTAATTTATTAAAAATCAATATAAACAATCTTAAAAATAGAAACTCATATAACTATATAACCTTTTACTATTAATAAACATCAAAACAACAATCATATCTTATTAAACATTAAAAAAAAATAACAATAACATATATTTATTGCAAAACAACAACTATCAAGTCTAAACAATTATCAAAAAACTTTTTTAATATCTTTGTTTTTCTCAAATACTAGCTTAATAATGTCTTATATTAATTAAATTATATTTTATCTAATCAATTTAACCTTCACTATTATTATACATATGGCAGAAATTGATTTATTAGTAATGCAATTATCTAAAAATTTTATAATAGTGCAATTATACAATTTTGACACAATTAAATGTATATAATGCAATCACATAATTTTGACAATTTTGAATTGATGCAATTATATTGGAGTAATATAATGATGGCACAATTATTTAATTTGATATAATTTTAAAATTTATAATTATCAAAAACAAATTTGTTTAAATATCAAATTTAAATTATTTAATATCAATAAAAACATATCTATTACTTTATATCTAATTACTTTTAGATAGCTAAATATTAGAACTTTTAAAAAAATATAGAGTTATAATAATAAAAATTGCTTCAATAGTATAGAATTGATTAAAATATTAAATATAAAAATTATTTTTACAAATTCGCCTATTGAATGTTCAATTTTGAACTAAAATAACTCGATGAAAAACCAATATATTTTATTTTATTTTACTATTATGATGTAGCTCAAGACTAGAACTTTCAGAAAAATATAGGGTTGTCATAATAAAGGTTGTCTTAATAATCCGGAATGGATAAAAAATCAAAAAAAATATTTTTTTTTCATATTTTATAATGATTATTTGCATAAAACAGGGGTCCAACTTTATGAATATTGATTTAAATTTAGATTGCTATATCTTATTTGAAAGCTTTTAATATCTATTTTTTTCCTTACAAATATATATATTAATAAAAAATTCTTATTTATTAAGTTATATAAAAAAAACAA